AAAAAAGAAAAAGAAAATATAGTTAGAGGACCTTCTTATATGGCACCTTTTGAGCAAACTTTAAATATCTACTGCACAACGTGGGGAAAAGAAAAAAGGCTTCCCCAAAGCACACTCTGCAGCAGGTAGCCATTATCACACTTAATGTTCAACCACCGTCCTCTTCAAACCTGAAGAACATTTGGTTTAATTCAAATAATGAGGCCAATCAGTTCACACCAGCATCTCAAAGAGAAGGCCCTCATTATTCGTGATTATCAAAAAGCTGTTTTAATGACTGCGTTGAAACAAAGCGAGTACTCTTTGCCACTGGCTATACTCCGCTACTGCAGAAAAGACATCGTGAATGAGAGAAAACTCAACTTTAAATGTTGTATGGAAATTTGTATTTCAATAAAGTTAATTAAGCAATAAAGTAAAATTAAAAAAAAAAACATTTTTAACATTCATGGGAATAACACAAGCAAACATGTAAGTAACTGCCAGGGTAAAATTGTACTGTGTATTTCTATTATAATGGTGAGAAAATGAGAAGGAGAAGATCAGCACTGCAAAGCATCTTACACGTGTAAAAGATTTGGTGGAACTTATGCAAATGCAGGGGAAAACTCTCCAAACAACACTGTGTTTAGCTGCTGAAGGATTTTAAAGTTTAAGCTTAGATTGAATATACCGTCTGTTTTTCATATTTATGCTTTTTTTTAAGATTTACTTTCTATGTTTATTTTAGATGACACTGAGACACGTCACTATGTACATTTCAGTTATTACCTGGAAAAGTAGGTGTTCAAAAATGCTGGTAGTTTGCGTAAGTCTGTCTTAAGCCATCAAAGGTGCAACTGCCCTCAACACAGTGTTCACATATTTCAATCCAACTCTAGAAAACTGTCGCATGAGATGACAGTGTCGGTGCGTTTAGATCAGGACATCGCCTGATATGATGTTGCCTTTTCTCACGATGCGTTACTTTCATTCGCAGTCCTGGAAATATTCTATCAAGTCAATGCAAAGGGGTTGCCTGGGAACACGCAGGAGCCCAGACACATGATGCCCCCTCGCTGTGAACTCACCCGTCAATTTCCTTTTCTTATTCTCACATTGACCCAAATCGGCACAACTGGACACACGCAGACAGCAGGTAAACTGCTTAATGTCGACTGTGTTGGACCTGTGCTTTTAAATGGACCTCCTTCAGAGGGGTGGGGGGCAGGGCTGCAAGTTTAGGGCTGCAGTGCATGTGTGAAAACAGGCTTTCAAAGAGCATGGCCTCTGCTTTACTTTCATATGTGCCACCCCCACAGAAACATCAGCACTTCCCGCTGTGAGCAAAAACAGCAGCAGGTAATTGAGTCTGACGTGTCTCCCCCAATAAAGCTGACTACACTTTTTATTCAGGAAAAAAGGGGGAAAAAACATGAGAAATTATTTATTGCCCTACCAATTTAATTCACTGTAAACAGTATATAGAATTTTATATTACAGCCCCAAATAAAAAAAAACACTGTGTAAAATGCAAATAAAAACAGAATGAAATGTCAGAAACTCATATTTATTCACAATAGAAAAACACAAAAAACAAATCAAGGTCACTTTGAGTTTGATGGCTGCAACATGTCCCAATAAAGTTGGTACAGGACCATGTTTATCAATCTGTAGCATACTGTCTTCTTTAAACAGCAGTCTGTAAACATCTGGCAACTGAGGAAACCAGCTGCTACACGTCTGGGAGAGGAGCGTTATCCCATTATCGTCTAATGTAGCATTCTAGCTGCACAACACTCCTGGGTCTTCTTTATTTTAGTTTTTCCATTTTATGATACTCCAAATGTTTCCAGTTGGTGAAAGAGCTCTTCTATTATGAAGTCATGTTGTTAGAGTAGATGCATGCAGCTCTAAAATCTTCGTACATCTTTTAGCATTGATGGTACGTTTCAATAGGCACTAACAGAGATACAACTTTTTGCACTGAGCACTGAAAACAAGTTGGATGGTCCCTCTTTAGTCTGGAGACTAAGTGGGCACTGTTTCTGGATTGTGTTCACACATGGCCCCTTTTTTTGTTTAATAGAGCATCATCATCTTACATTTGTGGATATCACAGTGAACTGTGGTCACGATTACATCTGGATGTGTTTCTGAGCCCATCCAGTGATTTCCATGACAGAATCCTGCCCGTTTTCAAAATTAGCAAATATTTTTCATGAAAAAATAAAATGCCTCAGTTTAAACATGTGATATATTTTCTGTGATCTATTATAAATAAAATATGGGTTTATAAGGTTTACACATTAACATTTTACACAGCATCCTAGCCTTTTCAGAAATGAGGTTGTGCAAGAATCAGCTGGTGCAGCATGTCTGTATCATGAATAAAGTGTAAGCATTATTTTTTTTATTAGTTTATTCAGGGATAACTTTTTGCAAATTCGATATAATAGTAAGTTTATGCCTATGTAGTGGGAAGTTGTTTCATATATTACAGTGTAGGATGGTGAATAGTGAGAGCCCAGCACAGGCAGATGACGGACAAAGACCACTCTGTCTCCCTGAAGCTTTGTGGCGGGAAACCAGGAAGTCTCCTGTCACTTCCCTGGATAATGGGAACTCTACAGGTGCACTCTAAGTGAATAACGATGATAAGCAAGTGACTAAAGACATCATTTCGGACTTGCATGGCCATCGTTTCTATCTCACAAACAGTGTTAACCCCTTTAACACCAGTCCACTGATGTACATAGTGAGAATCCCATGAAGTTGAAACAATTTAATTCAAAAGTTATTCCTTCAGTAACACAAAACGATGCATTGAACAAGAAGTCAGTTGATCTCAGCAAGCCCTAAAAACAATATTAAAGATAAAAGGTTCCTTAATAATAATTAATTGAATAAATTAGAAAGTTAACCTGCAGTAAAGCCTGCAGTAATTGTATGGTTGGTTATTCTTCACCTATATGAAAACTGATTGGTTTGTGAATCCATCTAAATTATTTGTTAAATATGAACTTCTGTTACACACTGAAGTTGATGTGTTTATGTGTTTACCACTGTTTAGCAACCCTTTTGCTCTCATAGTTAAACTAGTTTTAATGCCCCTGTTATATATGTGAGTTATACATATATACATGTACCACTACTACCATTTGTATGGCGTGTATTCTAATAGAGTTCTTCATTTTTCATTAGTGATTGTACATCACTTTTTCCATGTTTTTTTTTAATCTTTTCCCTGCCAACCTATTCAAGACCTCCCAGAATATTTTTGTTCTATGAATATATATACATGACCAACGACCAGGAAGTTATGTTTTCAACACTACCGCATGATGTGAAAACACTGATTGCTGGAAAAGTTTGTCACTGGCGGGGATAATGTTAAGCAAAAATTTTCTGTTTTGACTTGCCAGATTAAATTACAAGGAAAAAGCTGATAACATGTAATACTATGCATTTGCTAATGACTGTTGTCATTTTGAAGAAAAGGTTTCATTACTAATCAGTCAGGCGTCATTCTGAGGGTGTTAAATACTGCCTTTTTTTTTTTTTTTTTTTTTAAGTTTGTGTCATCTGTGTGATTTGAACAAAGTGTCATGACAATAATGAGACCAGTCCTCACACCTAACACTGTGACAAATCACTTGTCATCAGACTTAAACACGCCAGGTAAACTTAAGCATATTTTTATCTATGTACAGTGTCCAAACCACAATCTTTACTTAACCAAGTAATTTGTGTCAGATGCCTTAATCAAATAAAAGTGCTTAAAGTGTCTAAACTTACCCATTGGTAGTGACTAAACCTAACCAGGTAGTTTTAGATGCCTAAATCTAAGAAAATCGTTTTCAGTACCTCAACTTAACATGTTGGTGAAATGATGATTTAGACCACAGACACACCAGTGCAGACAACCCACCTGCCTGCCTATTCTCTCTTTAAACAAATAATACAATCATCAGCTTTAACTTTATAATAGCCTTATAGACCAAACCAAACCTATTATGAACCAGCTAATGATAAATAACAAGCAGCATTTATTATTCTTTTTGAATTATATCAATTTATTAAAGAAAGTTATAAAGTGGGAATGTGCAAATAATTTTCCCAGGGGGCCACATGTTTCTCTCTCTTGTCTCCTGGCTCCTCCCCGCCTGGGCATTACTTGGTTCCAGGTTTCGACCTTGGCCAACACGCCTGGTTGCAAATTGACTCACCAGCTGCCCATCATCCTTGCCACTACTTAAGGCAGCGCCTGGGTGATGTTCTTCGCTGGATCGTTTTACTTCAGTTAGTGTAGTCCCGGCTCTCTTTGTGGTTCCTGTTTTCTCTGAATGTGTTTCCCTGGTTTCCTAACGTGTGTTTGCTGTGTGCAGACCTTCCTGGACCCCTTCCTGTTTTCCTTCGGACCCTGTCGAGAAACTGTGAGTGAGAGTCGACCACAGCGAGTTGTGAGCTTCGGATGAGTGAATCACTGATCGTGTGAAGAGGAGTGTTGGATGTGTTTCCCTTCGCCTGGACTTCCCCGGAGCCCCTCTACCTCTCTTCACTGTATGTATGTATATATCTGACCTGGTGTCGACATGTAAATAAACTTCCCTTTCATCGTACGATTCAGTTCTGCACTTGGGTCCTGCCTGTTTGACCGTGACACTGGGACTGTTGTGGAGGGCTCAATTCACAACAACAGTCCCAGTTATTCATGTGGCTCATTGGGAAAATAAACTGTCAAACCCTGTTATAAAGTATTAACCACACAATAAAATAAAACATGCTTATTTGTGTCCTATTCAATGATATATAAGTCAGAAAATACAAAAAGACAACCACGTTGAAATGCAAATTTTTTAATAATGATGTTAACATACATTTTCTTCAGAGGTATTTTACATACATTTTTAACATTTGAAAAATAAATCTCCTTTATGTGTTTAAATTACAGTAAATATTTAAAATCAAATAAAAAAAACCCACAATTTTAGACATTAAATGTGCACATTTACAGCAGGTTTTACCAAATTAAAAACTAATTATCAGCTTTTATTCCAAAAACAGAACGAGATCTTGCTTTGGAGCATTTTAAATCAAACAACTACGCATTATAATAAAGGAAATCCCTTAAATATTCAGCACTGTCTCCTTTTCAGCGTAAGCTCATTGTCCATCGCACGTTGTCATGCATTCATCTGTAAATTAACCTTTGATACTCTTCTTTGTTTTGCTTTCAGAATACTTTATTGATGAGATGTAAACAGACAGTGTGACATTCCAGTGGGGATTACTAAAACCACCAAGAACATATAGCGGGATAATCCCGGTGGCCACCTGTGGTTTTCAACAGACATAAAGGTATCATCAAAAGCAGCAGCAAGAAGGTCCAGAATTCAGATGTAAAGGGTCAAATAATCCAAAACTTCATTACTGTCTCATTGAAAACGCACGGCGATGACCTAAGAACCTAAAGCTGATAGCAGATGTTAAGGACAATGTGAGCAAGTGAAGAAGCTTAAAGACAACATAACCTCATTAACCTGAAAATCAACCCTCAGGTAGTTTGGGCCACATAATATCTACACAATAAAAGGCTGCGTGAAAAAGGGGGAAAAAAACTTTGAGGGCCAAATTATCTTTTGCAAAATGCTAGTTTTGAAAGTTAAAATGAAAGAGACGGTTTCGAGTTTGTTTTCATAATAGAAAGAGGGAGGAAAACATCAGCAGGACATGATGAATAAGCATTAAGAAAGCAGTTATCGTTCCCTGGTTGTGACACCCTTTTTTTCTGGGTGTAGCATGTTGACCCCCTTTTTCTTCACTCTCACACTGAGCTGAGATCTGACTACAGCAGAGTCAAATTCAAGCTCAGGGAAAAGTGAGACTCTTTGTAAATTGCTTCCGTAGTCGTGCTCCAGATTCTCTACCGAGTTCTTCAGCTTATTAGCAGAAACACTTTTAGTTCCTGACATAGTCCCAGACAGTGTTAAGTGGCTGTTATCGCATGGCCACTGACACATCTGGGAAAAATCTATACAGCAACACAGAATGGAGAGAATTTGGGAAATGATTGTATCAGTAACTGCTTTTCACCCCTTTACTGTAAAGCAACTAGTCTCTTAGGAGATGTGGTAGGTAATTGTCACAGTTAAAGCAATCCAGATGCTGTGACGTGCTCTGGCTTTCTGAATTCACTTTCACAATCTAGGAGAGACCCTTGCATCATAATCTGGAGACACTTCCAGGACACTGCTGCCCGGCTGTCGCTGTTTTGGTCGTGTGTATCGCTGTGAGGCTGGAACTAGCTTACATAGCAAGATAGCAAGCAGAGAAAACCTGCTCATTAAAATGTTCGTGAATAGTCCCGGGCGCCATCTATTTCTTGAAAAGGAGGCTGGGAACAAGAGATGGAGAAAAAGAAGCAAATATTGTTTGAACCAGTAAAACATGCATCACATTTATATTTTATAGCTTTCCGTGTAATATTTAGCTGGACTAGAGAAATACAGTTCAATATAGTGCGATGACGCAGAATGAAATACATTAACTTTATATTCAACCCAACAAGTGAGAGAAGGAGGAGTGAAGCATGAAGCTCAAATCCTAGCCAACACACAAATATAAGCAGTTGTCAGATACTATTAATGTTTGTAGAGTTAAAGAAGTGCTGCTACAACAGGGGCATCATATATTAAATTAACTATATTTTATGATTTATAAAAACACAGAGAAGTTGATGTTATTATGACAACGCAATCCAAAACACCAACAGTAATCAGGGGACATTATATTTCACTTATCTGCGCCTCTTCTCACTGTGGACAAAGTGTGGAGAAGGTTGCTTTTCTCACTGCTGTTTTACATTAGTAGCATACAGGATGTAATATAAATCTGAGCCTCTTTATAGGCAGCAGTCCAACAACCTCAGCTCTTTCTACTGCAGCGCATCAGCCAGAGAAACCACAAAAGATATACTAGATTTCACTTTTTCAAATGTTTAGAGACAATGTTAAAAACCATTAAAAATCATTTTCCACAACTGATGAGTGCAAATAAAATTATGCCTCTTAATTAATCCTATTTATTAGGTGGAGACAGCAGCTACTCTCTAGCATGTGTGGCCCAGGGCCACTTCTAAGACCGCTGCTGTTAGAGGCTGGACTACTTTATACCTCTGTGGATTAATATAACCAGCAATATAAGAATACATATTTCATCTAAAAAATGTTCAGGCCTCAGTAGACAGACAGTTGGATGCTGGGAATTATACATAAGTGTTTTTTTTTTTTCTTTTTAAAACAGATGATGACGACAAAACGATGATTTAATCTTCCTTAATTTGGTGAAATGGAAAGAATGGGGAATAAAAAAAATCAGTAGATCGACCCACATCTGTCACTGTAGTGGTTTTACAGAACCTACAAATGGGGGGAAAAAAACTGCTGAATAAAACTTGAGGCTAAGAGGTTTCAAAGTGCCATAAAACTTTAATCCTGAAATGATTTCCATGCATCGATGTTAAACTTTGATTTGGGTCACATGGAACAACTTATTTATTAACCGACACAGGACCGGAGACATTGTGTGTCATGTTGGCACCATCTTTACATGGACTACTTGAAAATCTGCAACATATAACTGCACATTTTCTTAAAATTTAAGATCCAAATTCTTACAATTACACTTTTTTTTGTTTTCTTTTATTACAACTATATGTAAAGAGAGGTTCCACACAAAATTAACTTTAAGCAACTATGATATAAAATATACTGGTCCATTAACTGCATCATTTCTCTGACAAACCTGCAATTTAAAGTTGTTCAGAAGATCGTGGGCTCAAGGTGTGAAGCAACCTATGCTTCCGTTTCGGTTGCTCATCTTCATCGTCATCAGAAAAAGTCCGGTCAACGGGGATCCCTTCCCAGACTAGATTACGTCCTGCAAAGAGCACAAACAGTTGATACTTCACGTACAGAAAAACATACAGGCTATTAGAGTCTAATTTCATTTCTTTTTAGAATTACATTACAAAAGCCTAAATTCTTCAGCTTTATGGCTTACACTCATACTCTGTCAGTGTCACTTTTGGTGCATTTTTGGCAGTTCCAGGGCAAATTACCCCAGATTACCACTGTTAACCCCAGAGGGTTAACAGAACCTTCAGAGGTGTGATCGTTATCGGTAATTAAGATCTGGCATTCCTAACCATCTTGGTCACGCTACAATAGTTTATATACAGAAGGAAAAACACACCTGTTTGCCCTTCAACACTGCAGCTAGCCCATTCAAACGCAAAGATCGACAGATTGAGGCGCCACGTAAGAACAAAGACATACTTGGGCTGAACTGATTAAGAGCTAAAACTCAGTACTGTAATGGTAATGTTACTGCAGATTCAGTATTTACAGTTAGCTTAATGAAGGAGGTGTGGAGGCTGGTATTAGAGACCCATTATTCCTTTCCCTCAGAGGAGTCACATGTGTGTCCCTCAGGTGACATGCTTTTCTTTAACGTCCCTTTATTCTCCCACTGTCTCTATCTCTTTCTGTCTCTATCGCTCTTATCTTCAAGTTATCTCATTGTGAGCGATTCTTCCTATGGTGTCAGATGCTAAAACTCGAGGTCAAAGAGAGCCTTTGGCTCTGCTCAACATGGAAACACAGCCTGAGGCACAGAGGTCAACAGGGGGCAAATACGTCAAAGGGGAAATGTGTAGTCCACAGCGCTACCTGGAGTAATATCAGTGAGGTGTTTCATTATGTGTATGTTTCATGTTCATGGATCGGCGTAAAGGTGTCTATGAATTAATCGGTTGTTGTGGTTACGAATCTAATGCTAGCAGAGAGTGACACGAGCATATGGCTTTTTTCCACCACTGTGCTTTCGGCCAAGAGAAAAAACGCCCAAAGACTTTGGAAACACACCCATAATGTTAAAATGCTGAGAATAGAGACAGATTCATAAAGGCACATGTAGGTAAAAGCCTGGAGATGTCACTGACAAGCTGAAAATACAAGAAAGCATTATAAGACTCTTTTGGTCTGCAAACAACCGACTGTCTGAGCCAAGCCCCACACGGGCTAATCTACCTCCTCCATCCATCTTCACTGAAGCCAAGACGGGACACAGAGCACAGAGCAGAGGGTGCGTGTGCATGTGTTTGCGATTGAGAGCACAGAAAATAAGAGCCAAGCAACACAAAAACGGCTGAACGACATCAATGTGTTTTTCAACTGTATTCTCTCGGGGTGGTTTGAGTTTGGCTGCAACCACAAACAAAACCATTGATACAGTGATCTAGGTTTTCTCAGTAGATTGCAGCACTACAGTACAGGGGGGTATGACTCAGATGTGACGTTACTCCAGCACTGCGAGACGCAGGAAGGTGAAGACCACCTAATGGCCAACAGTGCTGAAGCAATCTCAACAGACTTGTGTGGGTTTATGACTCAAGTGTTTCCCAGAACCCTTCGACCAGAGGGTATGCGCTCTGCTTATGTGTGCTTTTAAGTTTATGTTCAACCCCTCACCCCCTTGCTTACGTACTCACTTACATTCAACTGTCAACTTTATTGGACAGTAAAATCAGTGAGAGGAAAGCGAAAACTCAAGGGCTTCACTTTGGTCCGCATCATTAGAAAATCAGATTGTGACCTATTACGTCAGAATACTGGGAAAGGGTGTAAATTTGTCATGTTCAATACTTGCACAACCTGCTCAATGACATGCTGCATGTGTTTTTGAGCAGCTACTGGAACACAAGGTTGTTTTGAGAAAAGCTGAAACGGCTTGTTTATACTTGGTGGAATACTGAAAAACCATTGCATTGGGCAAGATGGATTTGGGCTATGGATCATTCCCCCATGTTGTTACATACCCCATTAACCTCCCTGTGAGTAGGAAAGGTTGGTGGTTGTCTGGTGACTGTTTTAAATTTGTATGCATTCTGTGTCAGTAGTTGTGGCGAATAACTGGTCACTCAGAGGTTGAGCGTACAGCAGTCTCATCCTCGGGGAAACCACATTTGATTGGGGCTGTTGTTCCTTCTGACACAAGCAAACACACCCATAAACACAGACACACACACCTGTAATGAGGATAGTTGGCTCCAGAGAGGGTTGGATGCTCTGACTGGTCTCCTCTCCTCTGTCCGGAGTGCCTTCACCTTGAGTTGTGAGATTGTCACTGAAAGAATTTACAGAAGAAGAAGTGTTTCCTGTAACGCCCACAAACTGAATCCTCAGTCAGACAAGTGGATATGCTTTAGAAACTACAGCAGAGTATCTCATTTTACTCTGCGTTTGAGTACTCATCTTTCACTGTTAAATATTACTGACCACAAAGGACAGTGGCGCAGCCAGACATGTGAGCAGAAACTATGAGTAAAATCTTCCATACTCTGCACCCTGTAGTGGCCTGTAATGATGAAAGCTATTTAACAAGCCTGACTAAAAACAAGTCAGCCAAAGCCAGAGGTGTGGCAAGCACACATGTGATTCTGACAGCACTTGGTTGAGTTTCTTAGAAAACAAAACTTGCAATGTGGATGTAAAACAAAGACAGGAACGTTTTGATTGATTCTATGTTTGGCCAAAATCTAAATACATAATTCCACGTATTTACAACACAGTGCATAGGGAGAGTACCCCTTTCAGGTGAAGGCTGCTCCACTGAAAATCAAAGGGTGAAATCATTTTAAACTGACTGAAAACTTTACTGGACATTACCAGACTAGGACCTACTTGTTACTTGTTAACGTGTAACTACAGAAATTGACTGAATTTACAAAAACCTGTCAATCAATTTAAAATTAGCATTTTGTTTTAGAATGAATGATTATTATTTTAAACAATCACCTGATGATACTGGTTTCTGAAATTTAAAAAAGAACTGTCTGTTTTTGTCCATCTTAGATTAAAAGTTAAATGAACTGTAGCTTATTCAAAACCAATCATCAAAATTCTAAGAAAAGCTTATATTTTTTAGTTGCCTCTGTTCAAATGTGCATTTTGGGACATTAGTTGATACACAGGTAAAACCCTTCTATGGACATAACATACAACATTCAGTTGTTTCTGTCCTTAAATTGGACTTTTAAGGCAGATAACAGTATAACAGCACTCGATGCAGACCTTTGTACACCCTCCTCGTCGCTCGGATGGTTGTCCGAGTTTCGAAGCCTTTTGACAGCCTCCTGCAGACCTCTGATCTTGGCCTTCTTCTCGTTCAGCACCATGACAAAACGTGAGTACAGTTCCCTCTCTAACGCTTCTTTTTTCTGAACCTGATGCTTGAGCCTGGTGAGAAAAACACGTGCATATGACAACAATATTCTGCGTGGAGGTTTCATGCTCTTGTCGGCTATCTGATAGTAATTTGCAAAGGTGAATGACGCTAATCCGAAAAGTCCCGTGTGAACCTCATGCTGTACTCTGGAGAGAAATCAACAAGCGAATAAACAACAGCACATTTTATTTTAATTTTATATGCCAGGCATTAATAAAATTGAAGACATGTGAATCACTTGAAGTAATTTCCGAGAAATTACAAACCCAGCTCGCAATAATGGGTGGATCCCAGAATATTCTCAAATGGGCGACCAGTGATGATGTCATACTGGGTGATTTTTGTGGATATAAACAAGCTGGCAACTTAAAGAGAAAAAGGAGTGTGCATGCATCAACAATAAATACCAGCCCAGAACATCTTAAGAAAATTATGAGATTCTGCTGAATTATTTCTCTCATTATCCTTACTGTCCGAGTATTCGCTGGTGATCCTGCTTCAATTTACAGCTTTGCTCCAACAATCGTGAGTTTTCTGTCTCCAGATCTGTGCTGCGCTTTAGGGACTGTCCAATCATCTCACAGGTCAGCTCCAGAGGGTCTGGAGATGGCTGGAGCTCCACAGAGCCCAAGTGCACCTGAAACAAGGAGGAAAAGAAGCTCAGCGACAGAAAGTGAAATGAGACAGCAAGACAAAGTTTGGTTTGCAAGTCATTGGAGAAGATAGACTCAGTCTTTCTTCTTCTGCACTGAGAAGTAACTTCCACTTGCCTCCCTTTGAGGGCAACCAACAAACAGGACAGGTTTACAACTACCTCTGAAGTACCTGGGGATCCTCTGCTAGAAGTTAGGAGTGACCTGGGAAAGTCGCATCTGGCATCAAAATCATGACTACGAAAATGATCCATCACTAGCTTCCAGAATCAGTTCACTGTGAAAAATGAGTAAGCTTCACACTTCTATCATTACAATGAGTCTACAGTACAACGTACCACAAATATTACATAAGATTTTCTCTGAAGCAGGAGAGTTTTTTTTCAGATGATGAGGAGTGTCCTTCTGTCTGGGAGAAACAGAAGATGAATTCACTGGTCACCTGCAAAGTATGCGAGGGGAGAGCAAAGTTTCCTCTCTGTTGGTTTTTGTCAGCGAGTCTTTGGAATCGCAGGCAGGCTTCATATGTGATAAAACATTCCTCATTTGGATTGCATCTTGGCTCTTAGTCACACGCCAGGGCTGAGGCAAAAAGCAGTGAGCAAAGAAATGGAGAAATTCTAACTTTTAGGTGATGTGTCGTTTTTTTTAAAGAGGAAAATGTTATCCTAATTAACAATAGAAACAATGTTTAATACGATTCATATCATATAGCTGTATTATCTTTGCTTGTTACCTTGGAGATGTTTCCATTTACACACCTACACATAAGTACTCCTCATAAAGAAGTGAAAAACCAGAAGGTAATGAGGTGTTAAATCTTCACTTAGCTGCGTGAGGTCGCAGACCCACTGCAATAAAGCCACCATCTTCAAAAGCTCTCATAAAATACTTGTCATTTTTGTCCTGGGCTGATTCTGTCCTGGCAGGCCACACACCTGTTTTCTCCTTTTCTGTTGAACCTGAACATGTGTTACTGAGCAGACAGTGGCTTCATATTGCCCCCAGTTTTATATCCTAAGCACTACTGTGCCCTGGTGCCTTTCGTTCAGTTTCAAAATTTTCCGTCTTCTCTTTTCTCTTCTTCTATGAAGGTATTTCACACTCCCATCAGCACCAGCTGTACTCTGTGTTCAGTAGTGGTTGAATGTGGTCTCTTAGGGCCTTGAACACTAACTGTTAATGGCTGTTACAAAACTCTGACAATAACAAAGACATTTTATAGGAACAGGGCAAACTAGGCGTGTTCCACAAAGCATGTTCGGCTAGCTTGAGAAAAACTAAGATCCCAGTCAGAAAAAAGTACCATCAAGATGGTAGTTATCAGCTTTCTTTGCTAACCTGGAGTTTGGAGCTCCATGTGCACTCACATTAATTATAACGCATTGTTTGACTGGTGCTGCAAATAAGGCGAGCAACCAGGCCTAAAGCGGCAGAAAAACATTCATTTATAAAAATAATAATAATAATAATAATAATAATAATAATAATAATAATAATAATAATAATAATAAACGCTTAATAGCACGCAGTGTGATCAGCTCTGACTCTGTCCCATTGTTACATGTTCCAAGAACACGTAGGAATTGCTTTAGTTTGTTGCCAAACCAAAGTGAAATGAATTCTGTTGCTTGATTTAATTCTGGGTGGTAAATTGCTTACAAATGAAACTGATCAGTTTTCTGATCCGTGACCTAGAAGCTGTAATTCCAGCAGTGTAAAAAAAAAAAAAACTGCAGCTGTTTATGACTAAACACTATCTTACATTTTCTGCTTGACCATCTGAACATAAATGCATGCAAACAAGAGTGTACTCAACTTTCCTCGCTGACCCATCTCACTTTGTAGTCAAACCCTCTGGACTACTTTTTAAAGCAGGAAGTACAACATCAAAGCAGAGGCCCTTTCACAAAATGACCAAGACACAGACGTTATACATTAAACATGACAGGAACATCAGTGAGTACACCCCAGTGAAATATCACTTAAATATAAATCGGCTCCAGCGTGTATCGCCTATCAATAACAACAACAGTAGAATATTTCCTTATTCAAAGACAAACAGAACATAATTGAATGCACTTCTTTCAATCTACAACATAATTAAATCTGCATTTTCTCTCACAGGAGAGAAAATATAAAAAACCTGTGACCACTGAAGCAAAATTATGCTTCATATAGTCTAACATAACACTGACATAAAATGGCCCCAAAACACTACATTTTTCTCAGTTTTGGGCCTTGCACTTGGAAGGGTGTTTGTCTCTGTACATCCATATCAAGACTCCATCAGTGTGCAAAACTTCACAAATATGGAAAAGACTACAGGGAGATTGATGACTACCAAAAAATCAGTGGCAGCAGTAATCAAGCCATGTAGCCATGTAAGCCAGCTGAGTGTAGGCATGGAGCTCCATTTACCCCGCCTGCGTCTTATTTGGTAATTTGTTTGGATTGTTATAAACTGTGCCAGTTTACACTTGGCACACTGCTCTCCTCTGGTGTCTGCGTGGTCTGGTAGATGCTGATTTCCAGACTATGTTAACGCACAGCTGTTTTCTGCCTGCGATGGCCTGACGACAGTTCTCCAGGGTGGACCCTCCCTCTTGTGCTGCGATGGCTGGCATAAACTCAAGCACTGTCAAACCATCTGGTTCTGTGACTGCACTATTAGATTAAAGCATTATTAAACTATTAGATTTCAAAATCTTGTTCAACTTTAAACTTGTATTCTGTATTACTGGTGACTGTCCAAACACAAGGACCTCTTTCAATATCATTTGCCAATACATTTATTATACAGTGATAATTATTTAACTTGCACAAGTTTTGGGGAGTAAAACTGTAATGCAAAAGTTCAGCTTCGCCAGCGTCTATGTCGACAGTGCTCAGACTGATCACAATAAATGGAATCAGGACTTAGAGAAGACCACCCGGATACTATTCCCAAGAACTCGTAAAAAAGTGGAGCAACACCAGTGATCCAGTGCAGCCTCTTCTAGCAGGTGGAACTTGTGTGAGCATTAGAATTTATCAACAAGTTGACATAGCTGTGATTCAGTTATTGTGCAAGTTAAAGTCCACTGTTAAGATTAAACAATGAGATGTGTGTAGATAGAGTAAGAATGGGAATTTTTCTGCAAAATGTGAATGTTAACAGAGGGAAGTGATAAAGGTACTGTGACGATGTACCAACTTGTATAGTATGACAGGGTACATGAAAAATTTTACACTAATGGGCATCATGGGCATAAATGTCATGGTAATTTGGGGCTTTTCATGATTTATTGGTTCCTTTTTCAGGGTAGAATGAATGTACAGGATACATTTTCAATGACTTCAAAAAAACAAGAATTGAGCGCACAAGTTTGAATTTATTTTGGATTTTCTCTAATCTACACAATGTCCCTTAGCACAGCGGTCCCCAACC